TAAATACTTATTGAATGATGAATGAGTTACTGAATGCTCATTTCATATTTTGCCTCCTCTGAGATCATAGTCTTACTTCTTTGTCTCTGCAGTTCTTGATATATTGCCAGGCATGTGCTAGATCTTCAGTATATACTTGTGGAGCGATTGAAATTAATGGATAAAGAATATCTTTTTAAAGGTAAAAAGGCAAGGGAAATTCACAATGAGGTTTCCCTAGTCAAGTGAATGTTAGAACTTTCTAGTATTTCCCTAATTTTTTCCAATCTAACCTGCAATTTTGAACAGGAACATTTTGTTTTTGTTCCATTTATGAAATACTTAAGATGACATTTATTTAGATTGTATTTTTTGAGAACTTAAAGGAGGCTCCATAAATAGAAGTATTGTTTAGATAATGAAATTATTTGTATATGAGGAAGATCAGGGTTTACATTAAAATTTCTCAAATAAAACAATGTGATTATGAGACATCTGAGTTAAAAGCAACAGAAGCCATTACAATTATTTGTGACATATGTATCTTATGCCCTCTCTAAGCCTCAATTTTTAGGCCTTCTGTAGAGATCAACCATTCCTGGGTCAGAGGAACAGTGTCATACAGTCTCACATTTCACAAAAGAGGTTATCCCTGCATAAGACGGCTCCTAAAGTTTTCTTACTTTTTGCCAACTTAACAATGCATGCATTTATACACCCTGAATAAGGAAAGCACCACAGATTGACCTTTAAAACCAGGACAACCTGGGCATTATATGAGCAATACAATAAGAACTCTTTTCTGCTACTTCAAGTTATTTTTCATAGATGACTAAAAGCTTCCCTCAGCAGCACAGTAAAGCTGAATGGGGTACTTTAATTTTAATTCAAGTGGACAATTTTAAAATGTTAGTCCCAGTTCTCAAAGGGCTGTAGTAAGGGCTTTTCTCGTGTCCCTTAGCAGCAGTGTGCTGCTACAGGACACAATTCTGCATTACTGAAGGAACACCACTGTTACGTGAAGAGACAAACCCCTGACTGTTTTTTCTAGCACAGGAATATAGTAGGTTCCTTTGTTTTAGGAAGGATGTTGTTCAGGTTTCACCAGCTGATAAAAAACACATCCAGGAGTTTGGAAGATTGAATTGCACCTTCCACACAGGTTAAATTACTTGGCTTTAAAAATGTCGGTTTTTGCCAAATTGGGAGTAATGCTTGACTTACAGCATTTGTTGCATGCCTTTGAAAAATATATAGCTGCTTTTTCCTCCAAATTGTTTATTGAAAAACAGAGTTAAAGCCTGTCCAACTCAGAGTGGGCCAGTGGGCTCATAATTTCACATGAGAAATAGCCTATGGGAAACTCCTCACATACAATTCTTGGCTCTTTGGAACAGAGGCCTCTTGTAAGTTTTGGGGAAAGCTTAATGTGCTGCGCAGAGGTCACAGGAAGTGTTAGATATCCTGGGGCCAGATCCAGTCCTGTAGAAGTCATCAGTTTTGTTCATACATGGTTTTGGGGGAAATATAATCTGGCATTAAAATTTGGGAGATTTTGCATGCAAATCCAGATTTCTTGCTTCTTTTGAATGTGTGGAAGACTGGGCTACAGTTTGTATGGCTCCTGTGGGCTGAAGCCATGTGGCGTTACTTCCATTAGATCAGGTTTATGTTCTCCTGGTCATGGAGCTCCCACTTCTTCCTGTTGACTCTCTGATACCAGTTCAGTATATGCTGCCATTTATTGTCACTCTTATACTATTTTTTATTGCTATCCCAGAGAAATACATTATCTTTGTCTATCACACAGATGAGAAAAAAAAGAAGGTCTTTCCCTAACCTCTCTCTGCTTCTCTTATTTTCATTACTTGCCTGGCTCCTGAATTTGTGACCCCTGTGTAGTTTGTGGGAATGGGGATTATAGTATAAGCTGAGATCTCAACTCTTAGTGAACTTTTAAATTTCTCCCATGTATTTTGAGGGCAGAAGCCATATGTTAACATAGGCATCAGAAATTTTGCCCAAACAAGAACTTATTATTATTAATAACCAACAAACTTGGGCATTATATCACATGGTCTCCATCATATAGATGTGAAACTTTGTGAAAGAGATGATGATGGTGGTGAAAATCCCTAAAATTTAGTGATCACTCACCATTTCAATTAATCCATAACAACCAAATGAGTTATAGCCTCCTTTCCTGAGAGTACCATGTAAGGCCATGTAGCGATGGATAGTAGGGGTCAGATTTAGAAGTGGTTACTTAGTTCCAAAACACAATGTTTTGGGCCTCCCTGGTGGCACAAGGGATTAAGCACCACACTGTAAAGCAATCCGCAGCCTCTGCAGCATGAGTTCGATCCCCAGCCGGCCAGGGAGCAAACCACATGGTGAGGCAGACCCCTCCTGTCTTGCCCACTGCTCCCCTCAGCAGTGTATTTCAGTCCGTCTGCCTGTTCTGTTCCCCACTCTGTCTCTTGTGAATCCTCTCACCCCTCTATCTCTGACCTGTACCCCAGCTCTTGTATGCATAAATAAATCTTTAAAAAAACACACGCAATGTTTTGTTTTTATCTCCTCGCTATTGTTTTTGTTATTATTCAAGTGAGGAGATACCACGTAAGGAGAGTTAAGGTCATGCACCAAGGTTATTCTACACAGTTATTAATTGTTAGAGATAGATTAAAATATAGATCCAGTGACTCTAAAGCTTTATCCTGTATAGCAAATTACATTTCTTGATTTTTGAAAGGAATCTAAAATTAATTCTTGCTAGGAAATATGGTATGATTTTTAACGGAAAACTTAAAAAAACTCTCAAAAAATTGTAAATGCTTTTGGTCCATTGGTATCAGTTAGGTTCCAAGTAAGCAGATATATCTGACAAGGAGGGGACACAATTTGAGCATTGTACTTCTGGGTATGTTGGGTGGAGATGGACAGTTTGGAGCTTAGCTTCTTACTATGATGAATAATTTTTGTCCTGCACCTATCAAATGTGGAGCTGTTTTATAGTGTTATGTTCCTGTTAGGGGAGTTGTGGTGAAAAAACAAGTAACTTTTTGCTTAGTTGTCTCAGAAATAAGATATAAAATCTCATTAATGAATGATGTTCTGTAAATCACTATTACTACTAATAATAATACCTAGTTCTAAGTCCCTACCATACACAGGGACTTTAACAAATTATTTTCCATAAATTATCACTTATTCCCACAATAGCCACCCAGCTTCATGGGATTGTATTGATTTATTTTGCTTAGCATAATCAACTCCAGTTTTATCCATGTTGTCACAAAAGGCAAAATTGCATTTTTTTTTTATATTGAGTAGTATTGCATTGCGTATATGCACCACAACTTCTTTATTCTGTTATCCATTGATGGGTATGTAGATTGTTTCCATGTCTTATTTGTTATTAATAATGTGGCTGTGAAATAGGGGTGCATAAATCTTTTTGAATTGTTTTTGCATTTTTTGATAACTATCTAAAAGAGGTATTACTGGGTTATATGGTATTTCCATTTTTAGATTTTTAAGGAATCTCCATACCCTTTATACAGGGGCTGCCCTGCTTTATATGCTCACCAACAGTGTACAAGAGTTCCTTTCTCTTCATACCCTCACCAATAAATACAGTTTCTGGTCTGTTTGGTATAAGCTATTCTCACAGCTCGGTATCCTAAGTTTTGAATTAGATGCTGATTGTTTACCTTCAAGCAAGTCTTTTAATTTCTCTGTGTCTCAACTAACTTGACTTTAAAATAGGGAAGTGGGGCTAGAATACGTAGTCATTCAGGTCCTTTCTCCCCCTAAAGCATTATACTCTGTTGCATGATTTTCACTTATATTTCTATTCTTTTTCCAAAACTCTTCACTGACAGAAACATTTTCTGCAGTATTGAAACAGACACAGAGAGGGCCACAAAAGAGACCACAGGATCTTTGAGACCAGAGAGCCTCCAAAAAGCCCCAAAAGGCCAAAAACAAAAACCAAGAGCTATAGACTAACAAAGGACAGTGCCTGATAAGAGGACAGGTCACTGTCTGAGTTCTCACCCGAGTGCACACTTGCAAGAGACCTCAGCTCCAGGAACAGCAGCCATGGGGTTTTTTTTTTTTACAAACAGGGCAAACAAAGAGCTCACTGTACCCACAAGTGGTGGCTGCTCACCCAGGTACCAATAACAAACAGCTCTTTGAGGCACCAGGCCCAGGGCTTTTGGTGGTCCTCTCAGGCAATGTCAGATACAGGACAGAGGCCCAGTCCTTGACAGAGTCCATTAGCTTCTCTTCCCTCCTCGGAGGGCGGCTGCTGGATGCTTCTTTTCCTCTTTCTTCGGAGGCTGGAACTGTCTTCTTTTCTTCAGGGGTCTGACATTGTCGCTCCTTCTTCTTCGGGGCCCTGGTCCTCTTCTTTCGAGCTGGGGTCATCATCTCCTTTCCTTTGGGGGCTTCTCTTGTCCTCTTCTCTCTCCGGGAGCTCTGGTCATCATCTCCTTCTTCTGTGGGCTCCCTTAGCCCCCCTCTAACACTGGTTTATATCCTCTTTCACCCACAAGTCTGATTGGACCATTTAGCACCAGTCAGCTCATGGCTCACACCTGATTGGTCCATTACAAATGGCAGTTACTGGGCTCTGAGGAGCAACTGCCACAACTGACAACTGACTTGGGGTGGGGCCGCAGGGTTGAAAGGACGTCACTGTTCTGCTGGCTCCCATCACTAAGATGGCTGGGTTCCCATAACAGTATATTTCATAGTGTATGAAAACTGACCTTTTATCTTTCATACTTGCCAGATATTTGGAAGAAAAGATTAAGAAAATGTTGGAGGGGGTTGTAGCTGGTGCATGTGATTGGAAGGCCAGTGGTTACCTTTAATTTTCTCAGTTTTATTGGTATCTTCTGTGTGTTGAGGCGTCAACCATGCTGAGTCTGTGGTTGGGACTAGGCAAATGTCTCGAGTGAGTGACATAGGCTCTCTCTTGTTATAAATGTGGCCTCTTCCTTATTCAGCTGCATTACAGGCACTAAAGAGAAAGAAACGGTTTGAGAAGCAGCTCACCCAGATTGATGGCACACTATCCACCATTGAGTTCCAGAGAGAAGCCCTGGAAAACTCACACACCAACACCGAGGTGTTAAGGAACATGGGCTTTGCGGCAAAAGCAATGAAAGCTGTCCACGAAAACATGTAAGTGACTTGGTCTCCTCTGAGTCAGTGTTGGGAACAGCCTTGGAACTATATGATGATTTTGACAGGACTGGGCTTACTCTTTTGAGGCTTTATGATGTGTTGGAATGGAATGCTTCTTCAGACAAAGAATAGAAGCTGTAGTGGTAAAGGGAAACAAAACAAAACATGAAGAAAAGGACATTTATTTCCCTGTTAATGATGTCGAGTCAACTCACTATTGCCCAACACGCCACCTTTAAAATACATTCATTCTATAATCTTATAAAAACTTGAATGTCAAATTCAGGAAGGATATTAGAACTATAAAATAATAGTTCTCAAACTTTGGTGGAAATAGGATTACCTCATGAGCTTCTAAAAAAAACCACAAATGCTCCTTCAAGAAGGCGGGCCCTTTTTCGTTTGTTCGCTTTCATCAAGTTCTTAAGGTGATTCTGATAGTAATCAATATTTGAGAATCTTGACATAAAATATTAGTTAAGGATATGGATTTGGGGGTTAGATTTTCTAGGTTAAAATTCCAGTTCTACAAAGTGCAAAGTACTTTGCCTCTTCTTGGTTTTTTTCCTTACGTGTAAACCACTTACCTGGTGATAATTGTGAGATTCATTGAAATACTAAATATAATGCACTTGACATAGTTCCCATCACAAAGTAAGCTCTCAATTAATATTGAATTGGTATTGGGGTGGGTAACAGTTTGGTTTACATTCACACTGGGAAATCAATTACTGGGCCCAGATCATTTCCTGAGATTAGATATCAGGGTAAAGTCTGGGCCAAAGATGCTCAAGAGCAGTAAGTACCTGAGGGATGTAGAGAAGTTTCCATGGATTGGAAAGGTGGAAGAGGATGGGTCAGTGAAGACATCTGTGCTAATATTTTCTTGTCTTGATGATCGGCTGTCATTTTAGACAACTTCACAAAGGTCCTCTGTTTGTAGTAGGGCAGGTGCTAAAATTATTCAGGAACCATCGCCTTTCTATTTAGGTAGCTTTACAGCATCGTCACATTGTGTTCCTTTTGAGAAAATTTCACTCATAGGCCCAAACTTTAGCCATACCTTTCTCATATACATTTTTTCCATAAAGCTATTCTCTATATATTCATAATGTATATAAGAACTGGGGGGAAAAGGATAATAGGTAGATGGCATAAGTATTCTTAGTTACTATATAGAGTCTGGGAAATTTGCAAGTTTTTTTTTCCCACTGAGAATCAAAATTTCATTGTTTAGATCATTAACAATGAGGAAACTTCTTTTGTTTCTCCTTTTGTTCTAATCAGTTTGGCCTGGTTTCAGACTTGGAGGAATGATTCCGAGTCAGGGAATAGAGAAGTGGGTCTGATCCTAGCATTTAGAAGCTTCCAACTCAAGCTGGTGGTTAGGGGCCTGTGGCACCCAGGTGCTGGAAATGTCTTCAAAACACCTATCCAGAAACTTCTCCAAAGAGGAAATGCAAATGACCAACAGGCATATGAAAATATGTTCAACATCACTTGTAATCAGGGAAATGCAAATCAAAACTACCATGAGATACCATCTTACACCAGTGAGAATGGCACATATTAAAAAAAAACTAGCAACAACAAATGTCGGCGAGAATGTGGAGAAAAAGGAACTCTCCTGCACTGCTGGTGGGAGTGCAAAATGGTCCAACCACTATGGAAAGCTGTGTGGAGATTTCCTAACCTTCTAAAAATAGAGCTCCATATGATCCAGCAACTCCACTCCTAGGTGGACAAAGGACACAGAAACATTAATTCAAAAGGGCACCTGCACCCCTATGTTTATAGCAGCACTATTTACAATAGCTAAGCTATGGAAACAACCCAAATGCCCAAAAATAGATGACTGGATCAAGAAGATGTGGTACATATACACAATGGAATATTACTCAGCAATCAAAAAAGATAAACTCATGCAATTTGCAGCAACATGGATGGAGCTGGAAGGGATCATGCTCAGCAAAATAAGCCAGAAAGAAAAAGAAAAATACCGAATGGTCTCACTCATCATAGCAGGAATTTAGAAAACCTAAATAAATGACCAGGAAAAAGACTAATTGCAATAAAGTAAAAATCAAAATCACCAAGCAGCTATAGACCAGAGACACACTACAGTGGGGGGTTGGGGAAGGAGAAGAGGGATTAGGGTCAGAATAAGGGGGGTGGGAATTGTATGGGGAATATAACCAAAATGAAAATGCATACATTATGCAAAAATGAAAAATGATGTTAAAAATTATATAAAATAAAATAATTTATATAAAAAAAAACCTGTCCATTCTAGGCCGATGGTCACCTGAATACTTTTGCTGAAGTTGCTAATTCTTCTTAGGGTTCATAGGCTTCACCCTGCACTCATCAGTAATTTTCCAGGGCATCAGCAGTTATGGGAAAACCTCAGGGAGTCAGTATCTCTGAGTTAATAAATATTCTAGAAAATAGATGGTTCATTCAGAGTTTAGCAACAAAAGGTTGCTGTCAGATAGTGACTGCTGAGAGGGGCCACCGCTTCCCTGAGTCATGGTGGTCCTGGGTGGTCCCTGGCACCATTTCCTGAAGAATTGATACATAACAACATATGTTCAAATTTAGTTATTTCCTACCAGACAAAATTGCAGAATGAGCCTATAAATATTAAGTTATAAATTAACTTTATCTCTAGTGACTCCCAATGTAATGGTTATCATTTAGTATTTATTTTTTTAATCATTCAATTTTATTATTTTTTTATTTTATATATTTTTTTACATCATTCTTCATTTTTGTACTATGTATGCTTTCTCATCTCGGTTATAGTCCCCATGAAATTCCCACCACCAATTCACCTGTGTACCATCACCATAGACCCTTGTGCTCTATCATTTAATATTTAAAATATATGTGCCTATACAGGATTACTAATTATTTAATGCAAACTTCTTAAAATCGATAAGTATTATCCCCAGAATTTTTGTTATCCTGCTGAAATAAGTAAGAGTTTCTGTTAAATTGACTCATTTTTCATATGGAATTATATCTCAATTTATCATTTGAAACTAAAATTCTAAACTATTTCATAAAATATTATTTCCCAGGGATCTAAACAAAATAGACGATTTGATGCAAGAGATCACGGAGCAACAGGATATTGCCCAAGAAATCTCAGATGCATTTTCTCAACGGGTTGGATTTGGTGATGACTTTGATGAGGTGGGTGACCCGTATAAAGAATGTGGCATTGTGCCTGCTCTAAATGACAGCTTCCCACTATATCTAGCAGACAGGTTTCCTTATTACTTAAACAGTAAGCAATATTTGTTAGAAATGTACTTCTCATGAGAAGAAAATGAAGTGTTGTTTGCTCCGATTTAAAGGAAAGATTAATATAGTTTGGCAAACAGTCCCTAATTAAGTTTTCAGCTATTAAGGAAAAGCAGCATGTGATTATGTTAAGTTAGTGACTTTTAATGGTTGAAGCCTAAAGAGCCCCATTACGAGGAATTGAGTGCTCAAACATCTGGGCAAAACAAAGCAGGCTGTGTCACTCTGCACGGAACAGACGTATTATGCTTTGTAGTTGTTAAATTAGGGGTTAGGCTGCCTCTGTTTATTACTCAGGCTGTGAAACAAAATAAATGTGGAGTACGTTATTAACACACATTCCATTTAGATTAATCAGTTCAATAATGCAAACTATAATTATAATGGCAGTATTGTACTGTGGATTTCAGTGTTCCACGCAAAGCATACACAAATAGAATGAGTATGTATTTTGAAAAGTTTCTAATCCTCACATTTGTCTGGCAAAGAATCTCACTTCTTACATTTATATGGTATTAAAAATGATACTTCTAATAAGTAGAATTGAGCTTAGAATCCTAGAAAATGAGAATTGGGTATCAAGTAGAAATTGGAAAAATTTAGTTTTGAGGCCAAATCTTTCCCAACCATGACTTAAGGATGGTTTTTACCTGTTTAAAGGATTGTAAGGAATAGCAGTCAAAACAAAGAAGATTATGCAGCAGATTCTATATGCGACCTGAAAAGCCTAAAATATTGCTACCTGGCTCCTTACTAAAAAAGTTTGCCAACCTCTGGTTAGACTAACAGACATCTAATGAGTGCATTATGATTTGGTAGAATGGACTCTGGACTCATGAGGGCATCTGGACTTACCATTTATTACTAAAATTTATCTAAGTCCCTTCCCCTTTTTGACCCTTAGTTTTCTCATCTATAAAGTGAAATTTAATAGATTGCTAGATTATCTCTAAAGTTTCTTAAATTCTAAAATTCTTTTATCAATGATCAAATAAGTATTTGATAGGTGAAGGCTGAAAATGATGGCGGAGATGATATTCTGCTATCTCATTTGCTAAAAAAAAAAATCAGTGTCTTTTCAAGACTGTTGATAACTGTCATGTGTTATTAGAATTCTGGGCACACATCAATGTAGTATAGTGTATTCTACCATTTACTATATTTATCCCTAATGTTTTGTGAGCAGAAAAGGTTCATGAAAATACTTATTCTAAAGGCTCTTTATTTATATAGTCTGTGGAGAACCAGAAAGCACACAGTACACCACAATTCGACATTCACAGAAAGCATACACTACACCACAATTCGACAGTCACATGATCGAATGCTTTCATGTTTTATTTCCTTTTCATGGCGTAGATTTAACGAAGGTCAGATAATCATTCATCTTGCCGCAAGTCTGACCCATTGATTTGATCAAATTTTGTGCTTAGTTTAGATACCTCCTCTCTTGGCTCATAGTATTGTTGCTCTCATTTCATTATCAGATAAGTGTTTATTCATATGCATTTTCCCTACTTTCAATAATAAATTCCTTAATATAGGGACCATTGGTTCAACTTTGCCTCCCCAGCTTTGAGTTTAATGTGTGCCAGAGTGAACTCTCAATAAATTTGTTCAATGATTAATGAATGAATACAAGAAGGGTCTCTTTGGTCAAATATAAGTCTTAGGTAATTTCTAGGGGTGACAGCAACAGAATTTCAGTGATGACAAACTTAGCTGAGGTGGTTGGAATTTCCCTAAGGACCTCTGGAGCCAGCTAGATCTGAACAAGTACAAGTCATATTAGATCTGTTATCAGGTAACTCATACTGTTAAAATCTCAAACCAGTTTTACCTCTCTAAGGTTCTTGGCTCAGAAAATAGTTTAGGATTATGCCATACTCTCTGGGACTATTGCTAAAAGAAAGAGATGCAGTTTATCTACGTTGAGTTGTAACTTTCTTAATCCAAGCATACAGCATGACTTTTATTGGCTTTGGTATTTTAACAAAGGAAGACATGCTATCTTTGATTCTTTTTACTTTCTGTACATTATTGTGGGTTTGCTGTACTTATTTTATTTTCAGTAGCATTAGCCCAAATGAAAACATTTATTTTCTCCAATTAAAGTTTCACAGATTCTTAATTCAACAGAAGTGAAAAGACACTGCGAAAATGACAGGCAAGGTGTAAATTTCCTAGAAACTGTGGAGATTATATTTTCAGCTAGCATAAATTGAATATCTGTTTACTGAAGTATTATAAGATTAACTGCAACAAATTTGCACCACCCCAAATATTCATTTTTTAATCATTGTTCAATGTTGCAAAAAAGGCTTAGTCTTAAAATAAATATTCCATTTCACTGGGTTCTCACATATCAATGGGGTAGCAGATGTTGATTGTGTTTGGGGAAACCCACTTCTTGAAACGTTAACTCCGTAATTCTTTCTTTCTCCTCCGTTCAGGATGAGTTGATGGCAGAACTTGAAGAATTGGAACAAGAGGAACTAAATAAGAAGATGACAAATACCCGACTTCCAAATGTGCCTTCCTCCTCCCTCCCAGCACAGCCAGACAGAGTACCAAGCATGTCCTCTGCACATCGGTCCCGAGCAGGTCTGTTCCCCATCACCCTCATTGGTCAGATAATGGCCTCAAATCATAGCCACACTCCTACCTTAGAGCATTTACTGTTTTATTTCCTAAATATGCATCTTTTCATACATAATTCATAGCCTGTTTTCTGTGCTGAAAGTGTGAATATCACCAATTACTAATTTGTATCCATTTTATGTTTCAGTATCTTCCAGGAGGACAGAAGAGGATGATGACTTCAAACAACTGGCAGCTTGGGCTACTTAAACTAACATGGAAATTTTTTACACCTATTTTAATGAGCTATACATAAGACATGAAAAAAATGTGCCCAGTTCAGAAGCTTAAAAGACTGTTTTATATTTGCACTAGAGGAATAATTAATTATCCTTTAAGCCTCAAAAGTAAAAGTTATAAAAGGAGTCTCATGTAGACAGAATCAGGGGTGGAAAGGGGCTTTCTGGCAGCTTCTTGGAGGATCCCTTCTTACTGATAGAGGAATTCTACCTTCAGCACTACTGTATTTCTAATTCTGGCACATAGTTGGTGCTCTCTGTGTATTTGTTGAAAGAAAATTGAATTCTGTTAACACAAAAAGCACATAACAGTTTATAATTAATTTCGGAGAGATATGTGTAGGATAACTGGGGGGAATTCACTTGTTACTATGCGAATGCAAGTTTACTGGTTGACCCATGTTAGCAGAGATGTAGCCCATGGTAACTCTAACCACCCCACACCTCTTAGGAGGGACTTCATATAGAGATGTCTTGTATGAGTCTATCCATAGGTAGTTTCACTTGAGTTTTGCAGTTTAAAATCTTAAAGAAGCTTTAATTGACATTTATTATGCCAATTAAGCTTGGAATGGGGCAATGGATGCATTTCCCAAAATGTCTGAAAGCACTAACAGCTTACACTGCTGAGCAAGGATCCCCTGGGTGTAATTTAGCCACTTAGGAAGCTGCGTTAACACTCCCAGGCCATTATGATGCTGTTATGGCTTCAGCGTGCTAAATGTGTGAATGTGCATTCTTTTCTCTTTTGTACTCTGTGATACATTTCTTTATACTTTACAGCATATTTCTTGTAAATACATAAAAATATAGACAATTAAAAGTTTACCTTGAATAAACTTTTGCCCAATATTTTTTGTAAATGAAAGTAAATTACATATTTATGTATTGCCCATAATATGTTGTAGACCGTAACATGACAAATATTATTGTATGACGCATCCTAGTAACCCCTGCACTTGCTTAGCACCATGATGAAACGGAAGGAGCACTAGACCCAGAGGTAGGAGTTCTGGATTCCAGCCCCTGCTTTACCACTAATACATTATGGCCAGGCATGTCCTAAACTGAATCTTGGCTTCTTCACAGGAAATCTAATAGTTGGACTTCATGAGAACTGAAAATATCATCCTTCCCACAGCCTTGTTCCATAAGCTTTTCTCCTTGGTAATTTTTCCACCCTCCACAATACAGAGACCAAATCTTACTGATCCCTTAAATCTTAGTTAAAGCACTTTGGGTTTGGGGGATTTTTTTCCTGACTGTACAGACTAAATCAAGACTCTCCATTACCTGCCTTCATAGGACTCTGCTTTCTCTCCTGTCACTTATCCTGGCTTGTGTTGCACATTTACCTGAATGATTACTAAACTATTGTTGCTCTTCCCTGCCAGACTATGGTAGCCATGAAGGCACGAACTGTGGGTAGTTCAGTTCAATGGTGTATCCCCCGCACTTATATACAGTAGGCATTCCATAAATATTTATTAAATAACTATTACATTTGACATCTTTTGAACCATGATATAATAATAGTACCAACCTTCCACCCTCAAAAAAATAAAGAAATTGGACAAGAGTATGAAACAATAGACTGCACTAGATTATGATTCCTGAGAGAAGAAAACAAATGAAGTATTTCCAATGTCCAGCTGAGGTTGTGGTGGTGGTGGGGAGGCAGCAAGAAGCGCCCTGGAGGTCTGCAGAGAGCTTATTGTTGGACATGGACCCAACATAACATCAGAACCTTGTGGTGGGCCTTGGTTTGGGCAGTACTGTACTTTGTGCTTTGTATTTTTAAATAAAATCTTTCCCAACTCATCAATTAGGTTGTTTTATTCTTTTTGGTTACAATAAGCACATTCAAGATAACTTGAAACAAACTTGGATTTACTGGATGATTCCCAGAATAAAGGGAAATGCTAAAATGCAAATCTGAGAGATCAGACACTAGAGTGGCTCCTGATCTAAGAAACTCCTGAGTTGCCAACTGCAGGGGAAGATGAGTGCCTACCATTTGGAGCAAGCTATTCTGCTCATGAGTCGAATTCTAGAGCCCTAATTCATGGCCATTCTTGGCTCATGTAATTACTTCTGGAGTCAATCATGTGGATGCTGAATGAACTGAAAAGCAAGGAAGGATGTCAAAGCGTAATCATGGTGTTCCTACCTGGGGAAATGGGAACAAATGTTGGTCACCTAAAACCTAAACATATCACCTAACACAATAGATGACCATTTAACAGCTGTTCACTTAAACTATAGCATCTTCTCTGTTAGCAAGCATAGATCTAAGCACTGATTTATTTAGTATAAATTGGAGCAGCAAATAGTTTATACACCACAGTGGTATGTCTCTTCCTAAAACAAATTGGATAATGTGACAAAGTTAGCAATTCAAGTATGAAGAAAGGAAAAACCCAGGAAGCTGGGGCTAATAAGGATATCTGGTTCCATTGCATTGCAGCCCTAGGGAATAAATTGATGGAATGTTAGTCAATTTCTATTTCATCTCTGCACTTCCTTCCTCCCATTGCCTTAATTTAAGACAGATATAAATGTTTCTGCTGGAGAAAGTGTCTCTTAAAATAGCTAAAATCCTCCTCCAATTTCAAATTTACTTTGCATCATTTGTTTCTAGGCTTATCGGAATTTTTATTGCACTATATACACAACACTTGAGATATTTTTTTCAGAAAGAAGAGACTTAGTATACTTTAGGGTAGGACAAACAGGGCCAAGCAATAGAGCTGTTATTTAGAAGAGAGATGTCCAAACACTGAGCAAGTAGGCAGTGCCTCTGATTAAGAATGATTCTCCTGACCATTTCTAGTATGCAGAGGCTATTGAAGGTTATATAAACACTATTATTTATGGCACCAGGAAGATTAAGTGTGCCCTTTCAGCAGCCAGAAAAACTCCAATTTAGATTATTCTATGGAGTCCTGAAAGGATGACATGTATGTGGTCGATTATTTTGATTTTACACAATATAGTTATATAAAATGCAGATATGTAGATTTATGTGTTCATATACAGATTAAACATACTCTATATTAATACAATGTGTGTATATTTAGTAGTATGTGTATATTTTGTTTACTTTTGAAAGTCTGCTACTCATAGCTCCTTCATAGCTCCAGTATTTCCTTAATTCCAACTCTCATTTATCTTTCTCTTTGGATAGCTCAGTCTTGTTTCTCCCTCATAAATATGAATCGTTCTCACATTCCCATGATTTAGTTATTCGATCACTCCTCTTTTTACATTTGTCATAGAACTCACTTTAAATTATCACTTCTACAGGAATGACTCGAGTTCATACATAAATGTATTCATTTGGTCAACTAATATTTACTAAATATCTGTTACACCCTGAACTCTAACCATGATATCTAACTTAAGGTGGCAGTTAAAGGTTTCCTCTCATTTTCCTGCCATCTCTTCAATATCAACATCTTTGTCATGAAGGCTATTTTGTGTGGTATCAGTATAACCACTCTAGTGCTCTTCTTGTGACCACTAACGTGGACTATCTTTATCTTTTTACTCTCAATCTCTATCTGTGCTTGAATCTAAAGTGAATGTAGAAGCATATAATGGATAGTACATTTTTATCTATTTACCAATTTCTATCTTTTAATCAGAGAAACTAATCATTTACCCTTAATGTAGTTCCTGTATCTGCAATTTTGTTGTGTGTTATGTCTCTTTTCCCCTTACATTCTCCATTCTATCACTAAGGAAGTTAATGAATGTGTTCTAATGTACTATTTGTATTCTCTTGTGGTTTCTTTTACTACATGATTTTGAATTATTTTCTTAGTGACTGCCTTGCGGATTAAAAATTACACCTTAATTTATAAAATCCAGTTCAGATTAATGCCAGCAATTTCAATAGAATATAAGAATTTCACTCCTATGTGTTTAAACCCCCCCTTTAATGTGTATAAATTATATCTTTATACAAATGTGCCCATCAACATAGATTTATTGTTATTGCATTAGGGACTTGTCTTTTAAATCAAATTGTGCAAAAAAAGAACTATAAACAAAAAAACATGTTAATACATCTTATATATTTATGTATTTAGAAAATTTTACTGGTCCTCCCTTGTGTGGATTCAACTGCCTAGTGTCCTTTCATTTGAACTTTAAGAACGCCTTTTATTTACATTTTCTTGTAGAGTAGGTCTTCTAGTAATGAACTCCCTCAGTTTTTATTTATCTATAAATAACAATCTCTCATATTTTTGAAGAATATTTTTGCTGACTATAAAGTTCTTGGTTGGAAGTTTCTTTCAGCAGTTATATTTCATAAGTACCTGGAACTAGAACATATTGTTTAAACCAAAATATTTAGCATGAAGTGGTACATATTATTCTCTGTACCTTTTAGGAATCCATAATTACAATCTGCATCATTCCTTAACATTTTAGTAGGACTCTTGTTTTCTTGAGGGTGACATATGCAAAGTTTGCACTGCATGGGGAAATAATACATATTTAGTTTACACATTTCTCAATTCATTCATTTATTCATGTATTCATGAATAATTCCTAAAAACCACTTAATGATAGGTGTGAATTTAAACCAGACACAGATCTTGATCACAGGTAGGTTGTAATCTAACTGTGTGACCCAGAGAAAGTTTCTTAATCTCTCCAAGAATAAAATTCTTTAACGATATAATAGTAATACTATTACTGATCTCACTGGATTGGCAGGAGAATTGAATAGGGATATGTATGTAAAGCTAGTACAGTAACCCTAACAAAGTTAGTGCTTAGTAAATGCTTTCTCCTCCTGTTGTCAATTCTCATAGTGACAAACTCACCTTAAGTAATACCCATCTGTCTTGTGTCATCTATATGTCAACTGAATGCACAGGTTCTTATTCAATGTTCTATTTAGTTTGTAAAATATGGCTATGATGTTTGCATTCCTAGGAAGGTATATGTAGACTTTAGTAGTAAATTGAAAAATTAAGCAAAATCTTGAGGTCATACAATTGCTAAATTGTATTAAGAATTTGAATTTAGTTCTCCTTTTGTCTATACATATGTTCCCAACCTTTCCCCAGAATCTCTGCTGAATCTACACTTCTCTTATAAAATGACACAGATATAAAATCCCTAAGGAAATATTAATAGTTCCAGACAGTAGATGCAAAGAAAAAATGTTCTTTGCCTTTCCTTGACTATAGAGGGCAGCAGAGAGATCTCAGAATGTGAAAAAAATTGAGCGCTATTCCATAGTGTGAAATAAGACTACCTCTCTACTAGCATTTTTCGAGGTTATTTTAATTTGGATAATGCAACATTTATTACATAGATCTAAAATTGTATTGTGTTCTTAAGAGAGTGGGTCAGATTGACATTTTTGAAATATTTATTTTTCTGTCAGAGTTTTTAAAAAAGAACTTTTCTTCTTGTTTGCAGAGAAAAAAACAAACCTCAGTCAAAACGATTAAGCCGGGCCTCCCCTGGTGGTGCAGCGGTTGAGCGCTGGGCTGCGAGGCTGCCTGCAGCCTCTGCACCGCCGGTTCGTTCCCCCACCGCCAAGACGGTCCCACAAAAACAAAAACAAAAAAACCAAAAAAAAAAAAAAAAAACAACAACCAAAAACAAAAAAGAAAAACGATTAAGCCAAGTAACAGTTCAAAGACTGATTTGGAAAAACAAAAGTGCTCCCTTCAGCACCTATCTGGAAAATGAGCCCTTCTGTAGCCTAGTTGTTAGTCAAAATCGAAGGGTTCAAGATCATAGTTTAAAGTTTAAAGGAATTTGAGCTATTTTTACTCTGGTTTCTTTTCTGAGGATGTCTGTTGGCAGGATCTAGAGCACTCTGCCATGGCCAAGAGCTTCAGAGGGACAGAGCTTGTGGCACCAGGTACAGATTTTAAAATATAGGGAAGCTAAATTCCTGACACAGACACTGCCTGTAGACCTGGGCTCCTTACATGCTTGTAAACATCTTCTGTTGTTTTTTTTCCCCATCTGTAGGGTAAGGAAAAATGTCAGGCTTTTCTGCCCTCCTGCCATCAGGATAGATGATGGATCCTTGCGGTCCTGAATGCGTGCCTGATGGCAGGCACCTGGAGTAGGGTGTGGGCATAGGTAGATGGGATTCACCTGGGCTAAGACTGTGCTTTTAAGGGCGGCGTCACAGGGACGCCAGAAGCCGAGAAAGCAGCAGCAGAAGCCGAAAGAAAAGAAGCGCGAAGCAGAAGCAGAGAATGCCAGAGAGCCCAGATAGAATGAAGATTTGCTGGGGGCTGGGAGGACTGTCAGCCTCCCAGCCCCCCAGCACCCCTGCCTGCCATGTACCCGCTGAAACTCAATAAAAACCTGCAAAACCACTGAGGACTCTGACTCCTCCTTTAGCCGGTCTGCATGGTGTAAGGGCAGGACCGGGCACAGTGCAGGTTTTCTGATCTCATGCAGACGGGGTAAAGGAGGAGTCAGAGTCCTCAGTAGTTTTGCAGGTTTTTTATTTGGGGTTCACCAGGCATATGGCAGGCAGGGGTGCTGGCTGGGGGGCTGGGAGGCTGGCAGGCCTCCCAGCCCCCAGCAAGTCTTCACTCTATCTGAGCTCTCTGGAGTTCGTTCTGCGGCTTCTCTCTCGGCTTCGGCTTCTACTGCTGTTTTCTCGGCTTCTGCTGCTACTGGTGCTGCTACTAGCGTCCCCGTGACGCCGCCCTTAAAAGCACAGTCTTAGCTCAGCTGAATCCCATCTACCTAGGCCCACACCCTATTCCAGGTGCCCGCCATCAGGCATGCATTCAGGACAAGGACCCATCATCTATCC